CACTCCAGTCTGGGCGACAGAGTGAGACTCTGACTCAAAAAAAAAAAAAAAATTAGCTGGACGTGGTAGCACATCTGTAGTTATGGCTACTTGGAAGGCTGAGGTGGAAGGGTCGCTGGAACCCAGCAGGTTGAGGCTTCAGTGGCTGGGAGCGTGCCACTGCACTCAAATCTGGGCGACATAGTGAGACTCCAACTCAAAAAAAAAAAAAGCAGCAGCAGTGCCAAGCTGGGCGCGGTGACTCATGCCTATAATCCCAGCACTTTGGGAGATGGAGATGAGAGGATTGCCTAAACACACAGGTTTGAGACCAGCCTGGGCAACATGGTGAGACCTCGTCTCTACAATAAATCAAAAAATTAGCCAGGTGTGGTGGTGCACGTCTGTGGTTCTAGCTACTTGGAAGGCTGAGGTAGGATTGCCTGAGGTAGGATTGCCTGAGCCCAGCAGGTTGAGGCTGTGATGGCGATGAGCATGCCACTGCACTCCAGCCTGTGGGACAGACTGACTCCAACTCAAAAAAAAAAAAAAAAAAAGAACTGAAACTATGGCTGGGTGCAGTAGCTCATGTCTATAATCCTAGCACTTTGGGAGACAGAGGCAAGAGGATTGCCTGAGCCCAGGGCTTTGACACCAGCCTGGAGAGACATCTCTACAATAAATCAAAAAATTAGCGGAGTGTAGTAGCAGGTGCCTGTAGTTCCAGCTATTGGAAGGCTGAGGCAGAAGGATTGCCTGAGCCCAGCAGGTCAAGGTTGCAGTAGCCATGAGCATACCACTGCTCTCCAGCCTGGGTGATAGAGTGAGACTCCAACCCCCCAAAAAAGGAACTAAAACTATACAACCCTTAGAGGAAAACATAAATGTAAATCTTAGTGACACTGGATTAGGCAATGACGTCTTAAATATGACACCCAAAGCATAAGCATAAAAGTCAAAATAGGGAAATCAGGCTTCATTAAAACTTAAGGCTAGTCGCGGAGGGACTACACTTGTAATCCCAGTACTTTGGGAGGCTAAGGTGAGAGGATTGCTTGAGTCCAGGAGTTCAAAACCAGCCTGGGTAACATAGTGAGATCATGTCTCTATTAAAAATAATAAGCCGGGCTCGGTGGCTCAGCGTGTAATCCCACGCTTTGGGAGGCTGAGGTGAGTGGATTGCCTGAGCCCACGGGTTTGAGACCTGCCTGGGCAACTTGGCGAGACCTCATCTCTACAATAATTCAAAAAATTAGCTGGGCATGGTAGTGCGCACCTGTAGTTCCAGCTACTTGGAAGGCTGAGGTGGAAGGATCGCCAGAGCCCAGCAGGTGGAGGCTGCGGTGGCCGGGAGCGACTATTGCACTACAGTCTGGGTGACAGAGTGAGACTCCAACTCAAAAAAAAAAAAGAAAGAAAGAAAGAAAGCAAGCAAAAAGTAAAACCAAAGAGCAGAAGAAAACATTTTCAAGTTTTTTTTTTTGAGTTGGAGTCTCACTCTGTTGCCCAGACTGGAGGAAAACAGTCGCTCCCGGCCACCGCAGCCTCGACCTGCTGGGTCAGCAGGTCACCACCTCAGCCTTCCAGGTAGCTGGAACTACAGGTGCGCACTACCACGCCCGGCTAATTAGAGATGAGGTCTCGCCAAGTTGCCCAGGAGGGTCTCGAACCCGCGGGCTCAGGTAATCCACTCACCTCAGGCTCCCAAAGGCGCGCGATTACAGACTGAGCCACTGAGCCTGGCACATTTTCAAATTTTATAGCTAGCTGGATACTGTGGCTCACACCTATAATCCCAGCACTTTGGAAGGTCAAAGTGGGAGGATTGCTTGAGCCCAGGAGTTCAAGACCAGCCAGGGCAACATATCAAGACCTCATTTCTACAAAAAAAACAAAAAATTAACTGGTTGTAGTGGTACACACCTATAGTCCCAGTTACTCAGGAGACTGAGATGGAAGGATCACCTAAGCCCAGAAGGTCAAGGCTGTAGTGAGCCATGAGTGTGCCATAGCACTCCAGCCTAGGTGACAGAGTGAGACCCTGACTCAAAAAAGAAATTGAATGTTTAATTAATTTGTTCACTAATTTTCTTGTAGGTTTATTTTGGGTCTCATAGATTGGAGGAAGGATTGACGTATTATTTTGTAGTTAGTTGTACAAAAGGGACCTTTGTAGATATACATGTTTCTGATTTCCTTTTAGAATCAAGAAATGCAGAAATTACTATGAAATCTTGGGAGTTTCTCAAAACGCCAGTGACGAAGAGCTTAAGAAAGCTTACAGAAAACTCGCCCTGAAATTTCACCCTGACAAGAACTGTGCTCCTGGAGCAACAGAGGCTTTCAAAGGTCTGATCCTAAACCAATGCTTGTTAGTACTGCCCTGGTGATGACTAGTCATAGCAAATTGCCTTTAACCTTCCTCACAGCTGTTTTCCAAGGCCCTAACAGGGTTCCCTCCACACACACCTCCTGAACAGTCATTATTAGCATAGTTCCCTCCTGCCTCTTTATCCACTCACCTTAATTTCTTTTGAAGAAACATAATTTTGTTTATATGTAATGCCTTGAGGAGCCATTCATTCACTGATTCAGCCAGGGTGAATGAAATAGACATAATCACACTATAGGCTGGTGGCTGCCTCGGGGTAGGGCCTACACAGCATACCCAAACTTTTATGACCACAGAACTCTTTGTTTATGAAACCAGTTATTAAAATGTTCATATGAAAAAGCTGTGTATAAATACAGTTATAGATAAAACTTTTTTCCATTAATTCCGTGATACTTTGAGAAATATATTCTTAAAAATATTTTGGGCCAGGCAACCCTTCGGGTCCCTTCCTACTGTGGGAGCTTTTCTGTCCTCTGAATAAATTCTGCTTTAAAAAATAATAAGCTGGGCTCAGTGGCTTAACCTGTAATCCTGTACCTTGGGAGGCTGAGGTGAATGGATTGCCTGAGCCCGCGGGTTCGAGACCCTCCTGGGCAACTTGGCGAGACCTCGTCTCTACAATAAATAAAAAATTAGCTGGGCGTAGTAGCCCACGCCTGTAGTTCCAGCTACTCGGAAGGCTGAGGCGGAAGATCGCCGGAGCTCAGCAGGCCGAGGCTGCGGTGGCCAGGAGCGGCCACTGCACTCCACTCTGGGCGACAGAGTGAGACTCCAACTCAAAAAATAAATAAATAAATAAATAAATTAATAAAATAAAATAAAATAAAAATTAGCCAGGTATGGTGGCATGCACCTCAGTCCCAGCTACTCAAGAGGCTGAGGTGGGAGGATAATCTCAGGATGACAGGATGAAAGAAAAATTTTTTTTGATCCAACATATGAATACAAATCTTAAGAGTGTCACCCATAGCAAAGTCCTTGTTTCCAGCAAAGATCATCAGTGGATGCTAAAACTACTGAATGATAGATTGTTGTCACCCACGTGATATTCCTGCCAAAATATTTGACTTGAATCTAATACAGTAGTTAGGAAACAACCAGAATATGAAACATTCTACAAGAATATTGACCTTAATAAGAAATTAAAAAAAAAAAAAGAACAAAAAACACTGACCTGTTCTTCAAAAGCTCAATGTAATGAGAAATAAAAAGGGAGACTGTCCTGGATCAAAAGAAGGTAAGCTGGGCTCGGTGGCTCAGCCTGTAATCCCGTGCTTTGGGAGGCTGAGGTGAATGAATTG